CTTTTTGATTATTTAATATGAATATCATTTGGTTTCATTCATTGGTATTTCTATATTCATTTCTTATCTTTTATTTTTCTTTCCATTCTATATTTGTTATTAACACCTTTTCATTTACTCTTACATTTTATTTGTTGTGTCATCCAATTATTCTATATCAAATTGATTTGGTTTAATTGTTTGTAATCTTATTATCCATTATTTCTATAAACTTTCATTTTAGTATCTTTTAATTTCTTCAATCCTTATCTTTTTGAATTGATCTGTTTCCTTCCTTTTATTTAAAACATAAATAAACAGGACATTAATAAGATGAATATATTGATATAATATGAAATATGGAAAAAGAAATAATAACTGAAAAACAGTAAAGTATTGTGTTAAATAATAAATGACACCAATTGAATGATGAAAAAAGAAAGGATCATTCATTTTATTGAATGATAATATAATAATAAACAACAAACATTTGATATAATAAATGAGATAATGGAGTGTTTTTAATATATAATAATATGAAGTGATAAATAAATTAAAGATTAATAAAAGAAGTATGAACAGTATATAAAATCAATATTATTAATGACATAAACATATAATAATCATGAGTAAATATAAAAAAGAATAAAAAAGAAATAAGAATAAAGAAATATAAAATAATAAATTGATTTATCTTATTTATCTTATTGTTATTTATTCTTATTTTTGATATAATAACATATCAATCAATTATAAACATAATATAAATAAAATAAAAAATAAATAAAAAAGAATAAAATAAATATTTTATTATATTTTTATTTATCTTTTATTCTTATTTCTTTTTATTATTTATTAAATTAACACAATGAATATGATTATTTCAAATAAAACAAGAATGAAATATGATCATTTTTATATTCGTCACTTCATTCATTGATAAATGAAATGTTTATTTATTGATTTGATTTTATATTCTTTTTTATTTTTTAGTTTTCAAATAAATAATAATGAATAAAAATCATTTCATTTCAATTACAATGATTCGTTGTGGTGTGAAATATTCTGGAAGTTGTTTTCCACAAAGTGCATTTGATATTCCTTTATATGAAAATGAAAATTCTTGACAATTTGATTTTATTTTATTATTTTCTTTATAAACACAAATATCACCTCCATATCCAAATTCAAACAAACAATTATCTGATTGATTCTCTAAATAAAATGCACTTGTGGATATTTAATATCAAATTTCATCATTCCTTCTATTCTCCCATTTGATTTTAATGAAAATAAAAATGAATTTGGATCATTTATATAACCAACTTTATCAATTTTCACATTAACATATCCTCCAAATTTATTTCCATCTGAATCTTCAATAATAATTATTATATGTTCTTTATTTATTATTCTTTGTTCAAATACTGATGTATCTTCATTCCAATCATCAATGTCTGAATCAAATATAACACCCAGTATTCTTCTTTCAGTCATTCTTCTATTGTTTCATAATTTGATTGTTTACAATGATAAGTATTTGTGATGATGTGTATCCCATATATTATTTATTTTTAATTTCTTTTTTATTTTTAATAATAATATTTAATTTAACGTTATATATCACATTTAATAAAATTGTTATTTTATTTAATCTCATATTTATTATTAAGTTCTTTTTATCATTCCAGATGATTCTTTTTATGTTTTTAATAACATTTTATTTTTATGTTATTATGAAAATATCATTTAGTTCTTCTTTTTGTTATTCTTTTTTATACTTTCTATTCATTTCCTTCTATTCATTTAAATACAATCAGATAATTGATGATTATCATTTTAAATCATTTCATTCTTGTTTTTACTTTCTTTTATCATTGAATGTTTAATAACTAAATAAATGAAATAAAACAGTAAGTAAATTTGATTTTTACAATTGTTCTGGTAAAGAAATACTGTACAATTTACTTGATTACAAATTATTGATATTAATACAGTGTATTGTTGTTATCTATTTATAATCAATTAGAACAAATCATTCTTTATTTTTATTTTGTTGATAATGAATAAATTCATTTAACGTTTGTTTATTATTTTATTATTTAGAATAAATTTTAATCATCAATTTTCATATTTTGAAAATGATATATCTTTATTTATTTTAATAATGGTAAATTATCATGTATTTCATGTATTTTAAATTCTTATTCTTATTTTATTGTATAATGATTGTATAAATTATCATTATATATTCCTTATGATGAAATATTCACTTCTATTCAATTTTGATGAATATTTAAATATAGATAATGAAGAATAAATGAAATTGTATTAATTTGTCATTATTATCTTATTTATAATATTTATGTTATTATTGTAATATGAATATGATAATAAATAATCTATTATATCAATGAATAATAATTTTGTCAGTTATTTTTCATAAATAATTTTTTTTTAATATTTATAATATCATATTATCTCTTAGTTCTATTCATTTGTATTTATTTAAATAGAATATTACAAATAACAAGCATATTATTGTATTTTGTTTAATTTTAAATCATTTATTGATTATTTAAATATTTACATTTTTTATTATTGTGTTAATTTAAATGATACAAATACTTTCTTATTACATAATTTACACATTAAACTAATTTATTATTAAACTTTTGAATGTTATAATATATTCTTTTTGAAATAACATTCAACACTTTTTCATAAACAAAACATAAATATTAATGAAAAATACCAATATGTAAATCAAATCAAAATAAATAAGAAAATCAAAAAATAGCATTCTGACAAAAGTAATTAAATTGATTTATTAAATCTAACATGATGATATAGATTATGATGTTTTATTTTTCATTTCAATAATTAAATAAAAATGATAACAGCAAGAATCATCTCCACAATAAAAATAAATAATGATTTGTTTGTATTGAATATAAATAAATAATACTCAACATAACTCATAAATATAAAAGTTATTCAATAACAATTTAACTATTTTTTAATCATAAATTTTATAAAAATCTTTTTTGCAAGAACAATTTTATAAAACACATATCTATTATTTGACACTTTATTTTATTAACAATAGATTCTTTATTATGTCATTTGTTCATTAAGTAAATATTTGATAATAGTTTGTTGGTTGGTGCTTTAAAGAGAGTTCATTAAATTTAATTAGAATACAAATAAAAGATAAATCAAATATGAGTTTCTATGTTATTTCTTAAAAAATAAGAAACTATTTTATGTTTAATGAATGAAGATGAGAGTGAGAATGAATGAAATAAAATAATGATTAAACAACGTGAAATAGAAATATCGTTCAAAATAATAAATAACAAAATAAAAGAATAACATAATAAAATAATTATTAGATATTTTCAAAGTTATTGTACTTCTCTTTATTTCTTATTTTTAAATATTTAAAAATCAAAAAATAAAAATAAAAAGAATTTACCATTTATAACAATCTTTTTCACTATTTCTTGGATGTTCTAAAGCACATAAATTATTATTCCAACATTTATCATCACATTGATACATATGAGAATCAGCTCTCATATGTTCATACCATATATCATGGAGAGTTCTATTAGAGTGCATTCTTTGTGCTAATGAAATCATACTATTTGGACTTAAATCATTAAGGTTATATTCTTGAGTTGCATTGTAATTAAATTTCCATTGAACATCAGTTTTATTTAAATCAACATAATAATTAATATAACTTTGAATAATATTTCCTTTAATATCATATAATCTAATACTTGGATTAATCCCAAGATAAGTATCTAAACTAGGTGAAAGATAACCAATAACTGTTTTCTTTTTATCTTTACTTTGCATAATTCGATATGTATCTAAATGTAAATGACCACAAATCATTCCAATTGTAATATTTGAATATTGTGTTATTAAATCAATTAATTTATCATCATATTGATTATACATTTGTTCTGACCAATTGTATCTTTCTGAAACTCCTGGACAAATATGTGCTGCAACTATTACTTTTTTATTTTCTTCTGTATATTTATCCATTGTTTCTTTAAACCATTTAAATTGTTCTATTGGATCTGTATCATTTTCTGTTAATTTATTAAATGTATAATATAAAACTGTATTTAATACTACTACATATGTTTTTTCTTCTTCTCCTGTTCCAAGTATTTCTTTTGTATAATATCCTCCTCTTTTAAATGTTTCTAATGCACTTTGTGGAAGCCATCTAGAATATTTCTTTGCTGCATATCTAAATAATGAACTTTTACTTTCATCTTGATAATTTTCTGGAAGTGCATCATGATTTCCTAACATTGGAATAATTTCAAATCTATTAAATTCTTTAAGAAATTTAGTTGCATTATCAAGTCCTTCTTTAAGATACATTTCATCATATTCTCCTAATTTTCTTGGAAGAATATCTCCATTATAAATTAGTATTTTATTATGTTTTTTATCACTTGATTGATAATTGATAAATTTTGGAACTGATTTAAGTACATAATCTGTTGTATCACATGAATAATCTCCTATTTTCCTTGCTGTTCCTTCTCCACTTCTACAAACTGTATTTGGATCACTTCCTTCTTTATAATTCCCATCAAAATGAACATCAGTTACTTGCCAAATTTGATATGATGAAACAATACTAATAAGTAGTGTAATAATAATCATCTTTCTCTTTTATTTATTTCTTTATTTCTCTTTATATTAGTTCTCTTTTATTTTAGAACTTTCTTTTTGATGTAGATTCTTCTTCTTTTTTTATTTTCTTTCTTTTTTACCATTAAATTATTTTTTCACTTTAATTATTCTTCTTCTCTGCTTTCGTGTTTACTTCTTTCTAATTAATTGTTATGAAAAAGAGAAGTGTTCTGAAAAGTATTTGATAAAGTACTTCTTCATTCATACTCTCTTCCATTCCTGTCTTCATCATCCAATTCTATTGTTTCCTTTTAAGTCATCTCTTATATTCTCTTACTTTTTTATTGTTGCTTTTATCCTTAACAACCTATCTTGACAATACATCAATCACTTTCTTATTTTCATTCAATACTCTACTTGCTGATTATCATTTCTTTTCTATCACATCTGTATTACTAAATGAGTTAAGACGATTAAACCTACACAAACACATTCTGACCTTCAACCACAAAGTAATTGAAAATTTAATGAAAATACCACAGACGATTGTTGTGTGTTTTAAAGAAAAATAATATTGAAGCCACAAATGAGTATCAATGAATTGAAGAAGATGGATATCAAAATAATCCAATGAATCATTAACAAACAAATAAGCTAAGAATTAGAAAACATCACCAAGTTAAATTATTCTTTTTCATTATAAGTAAAACATAAATAACACAAACATTTTCAATTGTAATTCTATTATTCAAATTGATTTGAAATGATTAAGTATTCTTTTCAAATAAATGGACTTATTATTCTATTCTATTTGAATCTTCATTTATATTATGGATGAACATTCTCTTTATGAACACAAACATTAATTAAAGTAATGTTAGATTAATTAAATAAAATGAGTATATTAACATAGATTGTCAACATTATTACATCACATTTTGTTATAATGAAAATCAATACATAAAAACAACAAATAGAAATGAAGATAAATGAATTGAGTTATTATCATTTCATTGAATATTCATAGAGTATATTTTTCACTTATTAATGAATATCAATATGATTGTAATAAAACATGAATTCATAATGAATCAATACAAATGTAATTAATTAACAATTGAATAATCTTTTCAAATGAAATACAATGAATAAGATTCACAAAATGATATTAATATTTTTTGATTCAAAGTGTTTTAGAGTAATATTTCACAATTTGGCTGATTATTCATTTATTCTACACTTTATTCTTTCATTTTCATAAGAGCTTCTTTTGTTTGACCATCTCAACAATTTTAAACACTTAAGTTGTTGTTCGTCATAATAAGATACAAGAAATAACACTGAATGATAAGATATACATGATAAAATAACAAAGAAATATAAAAGAAGTAATAAACAAGAGAGATAAAAGATAAAACAAAGAAGTACAGAAGAGAAGAAATAAAAGAAATAATAAAAAGAAAATATGAATGATGTTTAAAAGAGAAGAACTAAGAAAAGAAGAAGAATGAAAAGGATGAAGTAAAAAGTCCAATAATAAAGAAAACACATAAAGAAGAATCAAAGAATAAAAGGAGGATGTGGAATTTATCTGGATGTTATTATTTAATAAGTAAATGATGGACAATTACATTTTCATCAGAAATAAGCAGCTAAGAAACTAAAACATTTTTACCAATTAAGAAAATGATAGATGAAGAAGGAAAGGTTATATTTGAAGAAGAGAAAAATATATTGTAAAAGAAGAAAATGAAGAAAAGAAATTAGTATTTAACGAAGAAGGGATTCCAATAGAAGATAAAAGAGAAGATAAAGAAGAAAATAAAAGAAGAAGGAATTCTAATGAAAATGTTGTGATGAATATTATTAATGAATATTATAATAAATAAGAAGATATAGAAGGGAAAGGGATTAAACCAATAATTACAAAAAAGACAAAAAGAAATAAACTTAATAGTCAACAATATAGATTAGTTCAATTAAGAAATGAAAAAGGAGAAATAATTAAAATAGTAGATAATGATGAATTAATTAAAAATCATGGAAATCCAATATATTTATTACTTTGTTCATATTTAACAAAATATAATAAGAAACAACCAAAATACAAATATCTTATTATTGGGAATAAAAAATGTATTCATGAAGATTATGATAAAGATAAAACAATCCTTGTATTAACAAAAGAATAATTTTTTGAAGATATTCAACGATTTCAATATCATTTTTAACAAAGCAATTTAATATCATAATAAATTAAATATCTAAGAAATTTAATAGAAATAAAAGAATATGTAAAATGTCAAATAATCCACATATGATTGAATAAGATAAAATAAAAGAATATCCAAAAGATAATAACTATGAAATAAGAATACAATAATAAAGAAAGAAATAATAAAAGATGAAAAAAAAAAACAATTAATTAAGTGTTAATAGAATTTGTATTTATTATTTGTTATTCAGTGGAGATTAATCTTATCAATGAATCTTCATCATGTAATTCAACAACATATGTTTGGTTGTGGTAGAAACAGTGTTCAATAACATCCATCATATTTTTAATTACAATGTTTTTAATTTCTTTTATGATGTTAACTTCATTCTTTAATTCTTTAATTAATTTAATACTTTCTAGATTTATTATTTAATTTATTGAAATTACTATTGCACTTATTTTGACATCTTTTAATTTCTCTATTTTAATTAGCCTATTTTTCAACTCCTTGTACATATTTCTTTTCTTCAAATAGGCTCCATTAATATTGTGATATGCTACAATAGTCATATCAATTATTAGACCAGTTTTATTCTTTTTATTTATTACATATATGTCTGGTATTTTATGATATTGGTTTATTTTTGATATTATTTGTTTGTTCCATATCATAGTGATGTCATTGTATTGGAACACTGTTTCATATTTTGATTTTTGTATTGAATATTTCCTGTGTATTTTCTTATTAACCCCTCCCATATGATGATGCCAATATGGTCATGTTTCTCCATTTGTGATTTCTTATGACCAATGCAAGATAGTAGAATGTGTTCTACTGTGGCTATCTTGTCTTTACAAAGTGGGCAGTACTTCAATCTTTCATTTTTTAATATTTTTGCTTTCCTGTACCCACTAAATATTACTCCATCTTGTATTTTAGTTAATTGGAGAAATGCATTTTTCTTTATATTGATGGACTTCCATGCATTGATTGTAGTAGTTTTATCTACAAATTTTGACTCAAACCATCTTCTAAAATGTCCACTTGTTTGATTTCCATTTTTTGATGTATTGGTCGGTCATTAATTTCTTTATTTTTAATATTACTTCTTTTTTATTTTTTATTTTCACTTCATTTATTATTTCTTCTATTTTCGTTTCTGTGATTTTATGACTTAGTACTTTTTTAATTCTATTCCATATTCCTTTCTTGGATACCATCTATCTATTATGTTATTTCTTATTTCACTTTCTCTTGTATATTAGTACATTACTATTCTAATTAATTCATTAACATATTCGTCCCTTAGGCTTATTAATCCTTCACCTATTTCATTTATATTGACATATAGACGGTCTTTGGAGTTACCGGCACAATGTATTTTGCCTTTCTTAAATATTTTCTTATCTCCAAATCCATTCTATCTAGGTCAGTTACCTTCCAATTTACTACTAATGCTGAATATCTGAAGATGGGTATTACTTCAGTATTAATTCTTATAATATATCTTCTATTACTACTTTCATCAGTATTTATTTCTTTCATTTTCTTCATCATCTTTTCTTTGATGATTTTACAATTGAATATATCATTAATTTCATCTGACTGCCATACACCTAAATATTTATACAATTCCTCTCATTCAATTATTGGGATGTTTTACATTCCATCTGGTATTTTATTAATGTTCTTTAATACCAATTCATGATTTCTTTTCATTTCCATCCCTATTCCACTTATTATTTCTTTAATTTCATTGTTGATTGTTCCCATTTCTTCGCTACTTTGTGTCATTATTCTCAAATCATCCATATACAATGTATTGTTTGCTTTTGTGAACTTCTCTTCTATGATTTGAGAAATTATATTCATTTTGATGATGAAGAGTAGAAATGATAATGAATCACATTGTAAAATTCATCAATTTAATATATCCTAGATATTCGTTATATTTATATCATATGAATATCTTCCATCTGTTCATCATACTTTCTACAATGTCTATGATGACACCCTCTACATTAAAATATTTAAGTGCTTCTATTACCCATTCATGATTTACTGAGTCATATGCTTTCTTAATGTCATAATATGACTCTACATATTTTGTGTATTTCTCTTCTTTTTGCTGCTTTAACATATAACTATTAATTAATCCTTCTTTAGCAGCAAGAGATTGCAGTTTACATCATAATTGATTTTTACTAATTTTTAATGATTCATTATTCATGTTAATTCTATTGTGAATCTTCTCTTTCAATATGGAGGTAAATACTTTCATTATTACATTTGTACAACTGATAGGACGATAATTAGTGACATCGTTCATATCACCTCATTTATTGATTAATATAGTTCTTCCACTTACCATGTCTAGGGGGATGTTTTCATTGAAGTTTAACCAATCATTGAATATATTAAGAATGGAATCTCTTGATGATGACATTCTCTTCCAATAATACAAATATATAATGTCAATGCCTGGTGATTTCCAATTACTTATTTTCATCAGGCTTAGATTTAGATCATCCAATGTGATGATGACATTATCATAATTCCTGTATCTTTCATTCCACGAGGTGATTTGATTTATTTTCCAATGTTCTTTATTTAATATCACCTGTGTTTCATATAACGATTTCAAATATTCTAAAGTAATATCGTTATTTGGGTATATTTCATTTTGTGTTTCTTCTTTCTTTTGATTTTGTTATTAGAATCAAACATGATTTTATTTGTATTGATTCTGACATTTTCATTTTTATTAAATTTAATTCTTTCTTTAATCATCGTCATCATATATTTTATGTA